AAGGGAAGGGGAGAAGAAGAAAAAGAAGAGAAAACCCTCACTCTTTACCATTTTGAACCACCAGCCTCCCAAAATCAATTGTTGTTATAAAGTGCAAGGAAAAAGTCCAATGTAAAGCTGGTTTAAATGTTGTTAAAAGCCATAGGTCCAAGATTCCACATTTGGTTGGGCGGAAATGTTAATCATAATTGTTGCAAAATTCTAATCCTTGTGACATCTCCAGGTGTTCCCAAGTTGTTGCTGTCTGCCTACCTAACTTCCAACCTACCTACCTACCATTCTATCTATTTATCCATCCGTCCACCATTTTATCTGTTCATCCATCCATCCATCCATCTACCATTCTATCCATCTATCTACCATTCTATTTATCTATCCATCCATCTTTCCATCCATCTGCCATTCTATCTATTTATCCATCCATCCTATCCATCCCATCTCTATCTATCTATCTATCTATCTATCTATCTATCTATCTATCTATCTATCTATCCATCCACCCATCCACTATTCTATCAATTTAGTCATCCTTCTTTTCTCTTCTCCCTATTCCATCTATCTATTCTATCTGTCTATCTGTTCATCCGAACCATCTTATAATTGCTGACCCCATGTGCCATTCTGCATTGCTCCATTACAGGCCCATCATCCACACCACGGTCTCTTTGAACCCTTTCATCCAAAGCCTTTCATCAGATTGCCGGAAAGGGACCCTAAAGGCCATCTAGCTGGGCCTCTAACTCCAGTTTCAAAGCCTCCAACCAAAGAGAGTTGAAGGGACCTGCTGCCAAATAATCTGTTACCATGCAAAGCTTCCTCCTTGTGTATAATTGCAATTGTTTCTTTTTTTATAGATTGAACTGAGCGTTTAAGGTCTTGCCCAACAAAGATGATATATAGGGATAAAGTCCCATATATCATGAATCTATCATGAATCTAGGATATTTGAAGGACCACATCTATGGGCCCTATAGAGCTAAAAGATCTTTTGGTGAGGTCCCTGTCTTTATGCTACCAGCTTCTAGGACTCATTAGTTGTGAATAGTAATCTATACACATAATAAAAATAAAAATATGTATGTGTGTGTGAGACTGGGGTGTCCACTTACACAGACAAGCTCCTGTCTCCACAAAGAGTTATAGCTCCCACTACTCAGAAGACACCAATAGCCCTTCCTCCAGTGACATTGTAGGTTATACAGAATGCCATAAACATATCAAAGAATCCTGCCAATGTCCACCACAAACACCATTCCGCCCTCCACCCAAGTGAAGGCTTTTATACGGGGACCATTTCACCCTAGGTGTTCTGTGTTTCCTCCACCACTGACATCCCAGTGTTTCTGACTCTCTCAATTGCTGTGGAATTTGCATGACCCTGCCCACTGGCTCTCCCTTAACTCTTTCCTATTCTTTTCTATGGCACACAGCAAACAGAGGAGTTGATTAGCAACTGAACATACAAGAGAGGTTTTGGGAGAATTCGCCGTGATTTATAGGAATTGTAGGTCCTGGGTTGTATAGTTCACCTGGAATCTAAGAGCACTCTGAACTCCACCAAGGATGGACCTGGAACTAACTTGGCTCACAAAGCCCCCATGACCAGCCAAAATACTGGAGGGATTTGGAGGGATTTATAGGAGTTGTAGTTCATCTACTTCCAGGGGGCACCATAAACTCAAACAAGGACTGATCTGGACCAAACTTGGCATGTATATTCAATATGCCCCAATTTGAATACTGGTGGGTTTTGAGGGGAATTGGCCTGGACATTTTGGAGTTGTAGGTACTGGGATTTATAGTTCACCTGCAATCAATGAGCACTCTGAACTCCACCAAAGATGGAATTGGACCAAATTTGGCACACACAGCCCCTATGACCAGCAAAAAATACTGGAGGTCTTGTAGCGGTGGATTCACCTTGATTTGGGGGGGGGGGGGTTGTAGTTCACCTACATCCAGAGAGCACTGTGAACCCAAACACCGATGGTTCTGGACTAAGCTAGGCATGCATACCTGATATGCCGAAATTTGATTACTGGAGGGGTTTGGGGGGAACTCACTTTCCTTCCTTGGAGTTGTTGTTCACCCACAACCAGAGAAATTGTGACCTCTTCTGATGATGGACCTGGACCAAATTTGGCACACAGAACCCCCATGACTAGCTCAACCTACTGGAGGGATTTGAGTCACCATAGTGGGAGCTGTAGTTTACCCTTCATCCAGAGAGCACACTGAACCTCACCAATGATGGATCTAGAGCAAACTTGCCCCACATAAAAAACTTGAAATACTGATGGAGTTTTTCGGGGTTAACCTGGCATGTTGGGAGTTGTAGTTCACCCACAACCTTATGCATTTTGTACAATTAAAAATTGACTTTTTCAAATAACACAGGCAACACAAGAGTACCCAAGCTAGTAATAATAATAAAGATGATTATCTTTCACTTCTTTTCCTGCCCAAATCCCTTGAATACTCCTAATATTTATTATTTATTTATTATTTATTTAATATGACCCTGAAAACCATTTCTGTCAGTCTGGGCATTTGCCAGTTGGTTGGTATGTATCTGATTTATGTTCAGACTAAATCCCGGAGCAGATGAGAGCAACCCGACATGTGGAAAAAAGCTCTGTGTCTTTCCATACATCTGCCATTGCCAGACCCCAAAACCCGCAAAACAAAAAAAGATGTGAACCCTTCCATTTGCATAATAAGTCCAGGCTGTTTCTTTGGCACTGGGTTAAGATATTAATCCATTGAGCTCAGAGAGAGAGAGAGAGAGAGAGAGACAGGGGAGGATGTTTTGGTGCAGACAGAGAAACAGCAACAAGTCTCCTCCTTGGAAGTGAGGAATGCTCTTGGGTTGCATTGCAGTGCATCCTTGAGGTCTCCAAACCCACACAGAGCCACAGCAAACCTCCTCCTTTACTCTAACGGGACTCTTTCGGCTCCTTATATGGGGAGATCTTCTTTTTTTTCCCCCGGATCTCTGTTGCCTTTCCAGAAAGCACTTGAGATTGCAACACAGTAAAACTTTATGTGACACATCCACTCAGGAGCACCTGGTGCTTCCTTTGGAGACTGAGCCCCATTGAGATGCTGAGATGTGAACCCATACCTCCACTCCAAGCTTCCTCAAAGTCCAGGGAAATCCCTCCTAAATGAAAAAGGCCATTTCTTTCTGTCTGGGTGGCTGTGAGTTTTGCAGGCTATATGGCTATGCTCCAGTAGCATTCTCTCCTGACTTTTCCCCTGCATATGTGACTAAATGGCATCTTCAGAGGTTCTATTGGAGGTGAGGCAAGTAGAGTGTGTGTGTGTGTGTATCTGTGGAATAATGTCCAGAGAGGGAGAAAGAACCCCCCGTCCATTGCAATGAGCAATCTTGAATAGCACTGAGGAGCCATGAAGCTGCAAAGTCAATCAGGGAGGATCTCTGGATAGAACTAGTGATGCAAGTGGGGTGTATATTTCCCTGTGGAATGATGTCCAGGGTGGGAAAAGAACCCTTGTCTGTGTGAAGCAAGCGTGGATGTTGCAATGAGCAAGCTTGATTAGCATTGAGTAGCCATGAAGCTGAAAAGTCAATCAGTGAGGGTCTCTGCCTAGAGGTAGTGAATCAAGTGGAGTGTATATTTCCCTGTGGAATTATGTGCAGGGTAGAAAAAGAACCCTTGTCTGTTTAAAGCAAATTTGATAGTATTGAGTAGCCATGCAGCTGCAAAGTCAATCAGTGAGGATATCTACACAGAGGTAGTGAATCAAGTGGAATGTATATATTTATGTGGAATAATGTCCAGGATGAGAGAAAGAACCCTTGGCTGTTTGAAGCAAGTGTGAATGTTGCAATGAGCAATCTTGAATAGCATTGAGTAGACATGAAGCTGCAAAGTCAATCAGTGAAAGTATCTGCATCCTTAGTCAGGATGAGATGGTGGATGGGAGAGAAAAAGTGTATCCATTAGACCCCGTATTGCCTACTCTTGATATAGAATCCTTGAGCTGGACGAAACACCCAAAGGTCATCTAGTCCAACCCCCTGCTATGCACTCCCAATAGACAGCCTCCATGGAGACTCCACCACACTCCGAGGCAGTCAGTGCCACTCTCCAGGAAGTTATTCCTCATCTTTTCAGTTGAATCTTTTTCCCTGCCATTTGAACCCATTGCTCCCATGTGCTCTGGTCTCTAGAGCAGCAGAAAGTCAGTTTTCCTCTTCCCACCTCAGTGGGACACCCTTTTAAATCTTGAAACATGGTTCTCATGTTCCCTCTCTACCTTCTCTTCTGACAGGAAAACATCTTCTCCTAGGAGGAAGTAAAGAGAGAAGGAAGGAAAGACCAAAGGGAAGGAAGGAAGGATGGAAGAGAGGAATACAAAGAGGAAGGAAAAAAGAGAAGGAAGGAAAGATAAAGAGGGAGGTAAGGGAGGAAGGGAAGGATGGAAGGAGGAAGGAAATAGAGAAGGAAGAAAGGATAGGATGGTGTGAGAGAGGAGGGCCTGAGAAAAGAGACCAAGGGGCCGCAACCAGGCCTCGGGCCTGGGCTTGCCCATTCCTGCTTTAGCCATATACCAAATGCATACAACGTTCACCAATTTGCACATCGTTTTAGATAGTGATGATGCCTGAATTAAAAAGTAGAAGTGTTGCAGTCTTGTTTCCCTTGACTTGTTGAAGAGGCTGACCTGACTTGGTTGATTGACTACACATGTGCATATGGTTATTGTCGAATCAAAGCTTTCTCTCCATTTGTGGCGCAGGAATCTATCTCTCCTGAACTTTTCTGTTTTACCATTTCAAGATCTGGCCTCCTCATTTTGCAGCAAGAAAGACATCACAATTTGGACGCGTTTTCCTTTCCCCTGGTCTCCCCAAACTAATGTCAGATTAAATGCTCAAGGACACACTTTTAAGCACAAGGGCATTATTATTACCATCTCCCTTTTGGCTCCTGTTTTCCCCACCTCCTTTCCCTTTGGATCAGAACTCGTACCTTTTTCTCGGCTTCGGTCCTGTCTCTCCAAAGTCAGCCCAAGTCTCCAGCCATGAAGAACCACCGAAAGCAATGAGGATCCAAAACAAAGGCAGCGAAGGAGGAGAAGTCACCTTGAAGGGCCATCCATGTTCTCCCAGGAAACTGGGAAATCTCGCGCAATTAAAGGAAACAAAAATCGGTCACTGGGTTCTTCTGTTTAATCCTCCATCCAAACACCGTTCCGGCCTCTGCTGCAAGTCACCCAAAAGAGCTTCCCAATATTGAATATCATTCCTCCCGGAGAAGGGATTTTGCAATAAATGGACACCAACTTGTCAAATAGAAACTCCAGAAGGCATTGACATTTGCCACATAAACTGGGATGGTTTCTCTTTTCTTTCTTCACTTTGAACAGGTGATTTCTTTGCTTTTGGGTGGCTTTTGTGCCACTTGGGCCTTGGCTTCCCTTCCTTTCTCTCTAATAAGAGATTGGTTTGGTGGCTTACAATTGGATGCAAAAACCCTGGGCAATGCAGAGCAAATTTGACATATTTGATTGAGACAGGTGAATGTGGAATAAACGTGACTTTCCTGATCAAGAAGTCCAGGCAATGCAGAATGAACTGGATTTTCCAGATCAAGGAGTCCAGGCAATGCGGAATAAACTGGACTTTCCTGATCAAGAAGTCCAGTCAGTGCAGAATAAACCGGACTTTACTGATTAAGGAGTCCAGGCCATGTGGAATGAACCGGACTTTCCGGATCAAGAAATCCAGGCAATGCGGAATGGACCGGACTTTCCGGATCAAGAAGTCCAGGCAATACAGAATGAACCAAACTTTCTGGATCAAGGAGTTCAGGCAATGTGGAATGAAACAAACTTTCAGGATCAAGGGGTACAGGCAATGCGGAATAAACCAGACTTTCCTGATCAAGGAGTCCAGGCAGCGCAGAATAAACCGGACTTTTCTGATCACAGAATCCAGGCAATGCGGAATAAACCAGAATTTCTATATCAAGAAATCCAGGTAACAAGGAATAAACCAAACTTTCCGGGTCAAGAAGTGCAGGCAATGCAGAATGAACTGGACTTTCTGGATCAAGGAGTCCAGGCAGTGCGGAATAAACCGGACTTTTCTGATCAAGGAGTCCAGGCAGTGCAGAATAAGCCAGACTTTCCTGATCAAGAAGTCAAGGCCATGTGGAATGAACAGGACTTTTTTGATCAAGTAGTTCAGGCAACGCGGAATGAACCAGACTTTCCTGATGAAGAAGACCCAGCGAAGTCCAGTCAATGAAGAACAAACCTGTCTTATCTAGTCAAGACTGGTTAATGCAGAATAAACTTGATGTAGCTAGTCAAGAAGAGCCACATACATCCAGTTAATGCAGAAGAAATGTAACTTATCTTGTCAAGAAGATCTGGTGAAGTCCAGATAATGCAGAATAAACCTGTGTTATCTATTCAACATGAGTTGATGCAGAATAAACATGACTTATCTGGTCAAGAAGATCCGTGGAAGGCAGGACAGACTGTGGACTTCTATTTCTCTCTCTTCTTTCTTTCGTTCATTCTTTCTGCACTTTATTATCTTCTCCTTTTTGCCTTGATTCCTTCCCAAAGAGAAAGGAAGGAAAAATATCCAGAGGCTCACAGCTTGCAGAAAGTGGCTGTCTCTTCAACCCAGACAACTTTCTGCAAAACGAATCTGGAGCTTTTCATTGCCGCACACACTTTCTTTCCTCTCCCTTTTCCCCCTTGCTCTTCACATCTCTCTTCGCTGCCAGCTTCAGGAAAAGGAGGAGAGAGGGAAGCAAGGGAGCCAACAGAAGATTGGAATGAATAATAAAAATTCAATGTTTGAAAGGAGCTCAAGATCTCAGGAAGGTGCTTTGTAGATGCGTGCCTTGCTTCCCAGCTTCAGGAATATAAATAAAAAATATACAAGGGGAGGAGGAATTGGAAGATGGGGTGGGCTGGGTGCAAATCCCTCCTCTCTCAACCAAGATGGAAAGGATCAAATTGCTTTGGGAAGAGAAGGAAGGGGGGGGGGGGGAGATTCAGGACTGTCTTGAAGCAGAGGGATGAGCAGCTAAAACAGCTTCTCTGAAGGAAGACAACCTGCCTTCTTGATCTCTGTCCATCTTGGCTGGTTGTCCAGGGAGGAGATACAGTTCGATCTTAAATACAACAAATTATCAATGCATCTCTCAGGGAGGGAAACTTTCTGTCCTGTTTAAAAGAAGCAGTAGTTAGACCACTGCTGAAGAAGCCCTCCCTGGATCCCCTGGACCTTAGTGGTTACAGACCAGTGTCCAACCTTCCTTTTCTGGGCAAGGTGAAGGAGAAGGCAGTTGCCCTCCAATGCCAGGTGGTCTTGGATGACACACACTTCCTTGACTCATTCCAAACTGGCTTCAGAGCAGGATATGGAGTTAAGACTGCAATTGTGGCCTTAGTGGATGATCTCCATCTGAATGCCAAAAGGGGTAGAGTGTCCCTGTTGGTGCTTCTAGGCCTCTCAGTGGCTTTTGATACCATCTATCTATCTAATTTATACATCTACTTCTCTACTCTTCCATCTATCTCCATGTGTCCATCAGTTATCATTCTCCCATCTTGATCACACTCTACAAAGTGTTGGCAGATACAGATACAGTACAGTATCATCTAGCTATCTACTATCATGTCTGCCTTTCTGTCCTATCTATCTATCTATCTATCTATCTATCTATCTATCTATCTATCTATCTATCTCACACACACACACACACACACACACACACACACACACACACACATATATATATATTCTATCCTTCGATCTGTGTCCATCAATTATCTTTTCCCATTTTTCTTGACCACACTCTACAAAGTGTTGGAAGATACAGAAGCCAGATCTATCTATCTATCTATCTATCTATCTATCTATCTATCTATCTATCTATCTATCTGTCTGTCTGTCTGTCTGTCTATCTATCTATCTATCTATCTATCTATCTATCTATCTATCTATCTATCTACATTATCTATCTGTATCTCTTTCTATCTATCCATCTAAATATCTATCTAATTAATCTATCCTTTCATCTCTCCATCTCCATGTGTTCATGGACTATCTTTTCCCCATCTTGACCACACTCTATATACTATTGGAAGATATCTATCTACTATCTATCTACTATCATGTCTGCCTTTCTGTCCTATCTATCTATCTATCTATCTATCTATCTAATTTATATATATCTCTAATCTATCCTTCCATCTGTGTTCATCAATTATCTTTATTCTGATTTTCTTGACCACACTCTACAAAGTGTTGGAAGGTAAGGAAGCAGGAATTATCATCTATCTATCTATCTATCTATCCCTATGTCTGTCTGTCTGTCTGTCTGTCTGTCTGTCTATCTATCTATCTATCTATCTATCTATCTATCTACATAATTTATCTGTATCTCTATCTATCTTTCTATCTATCCATCTACATATATATCTATCTATCTAATTAATCTATCCTTCCATCTCTCTATCTCCATGTGTCCATGGACTACCTTTCCCCCATCTTGACCACACTCTACATGGTGTTGAAAGATACAGAACCTGTATTAACCATCTATCTATCTATCTATCTATCTATCTATCTATCTATCTATCTATCTATCTATCTACTATCACGTCTGCCTTTCTGTCCTATCTATCATCTATCTATCTAGCTGTCTAATTTATATATCTCTCTAATCTATCCTTCCATCTGTGTCCATCGATTATCTTTATCCCAATTTTCTTGACCACACTCTACAAAGTGTTGGAAGGTACGGAAGCCGGATCTATCATCCATCTATCTGTCTATCTATCTATCTATTTATCTATCTATCTATCCCTCTGTCTATCTATCCATCTATCTATCCATTTATCTATCCATCCGTCTGTCTGTCTGTCTGTCTAATCTATCATTCCACCTCTCTGTCTCCATGTGTCCATGGACTATCTTTTCCCATCTTAACCACACTCTACAAAACAATGGAAGATACGTCACCCAGATCTATCTATCTACAATTCTGTCGGTCTTTCTGTCCTAATTTATACGTCTGTCTCTAATCTATCCTTCCATTTGTCTCCATATGCCCATTAATTATCTTTTCCCTGGATCCCCAGGACCTTAATTACAGACCAGTGTCCAACCTTCCTTTTTTGGGCAAGGTTATTGAGAAGGCAGTTGTCATAGAATCATAGAATCATAGAATCAAAGAGTTGGAAGAGACCTCATGGGCCATCCAGTCCAACCCCCTGCCAAGAAGGAGGAATGTTGCATTCAAATCACCCCTGCCAGATGGCCATCCAGCCTCTGTTTAAAAGCTTCCAAAGAAGGAGCCTCCACCACACTCCGGGGCAGAGAGTTCCACTGCTGAACGGCTCTCACAGTCAGGAAGTTCTTCCTCATGTTCAGATGGAATCTCCTCTCTTGTAGTTTGAAGCCATTGTTCCACGACCTAGTCTCCAAGGAAGCAGAAAACAAGCTTGCTCCCTCCTCCCTATGGCTTCTTCTCACATATTTATACATGGCTATCATATCTCCTCTCAGCCTTCTCTTCTTCAGGCTAAACATACCCAGCTCCTTAAGCCGCTCCTCATAGGGCTTGTTCTCCAGACCCTTGATCATTTTAGTCGCCCTCCTCTGGACACATTCCAGCTTGTCAATATCTCTCTTGAATTGTGGTGCCCAGAATTGGACACAATATTCCAGGTGTGGTCTAACCAAGGCGGAATAGAGGTGTAGCATTACTTCCCTAGATCTAGACACTATGCTCCTATTGATGCAGGCCAAAATCCCATTGGCTTTTTTTGCCGCCACATCACATTGTTGGCTCATGTTTAACTTGTTGTCCACGAGGACTCCAAGATCTTTTTCACACGTACTGCTCTCGAGCCAGGAGTCCCCCATTTTGTATCTTTGCATTTTGTTTTTCCTGCCAAAGTGGAGTATCTTGCATTTGTCACTGTTGAACTTCATTTTGTTAGTTTTGGCCCATCTCTCTAATCTGTCAAGATCGTTTTGAATCCTGCTCCTGTCCTCTGGAGTATTGGCTATCCCTCCCAATTTGGTGTCATCTGCAAACTTGATGATCCTGCCTTCTAACCCTTCATCTAAGTCATTAATAAAGATGTTGAACAGGACCGGGCCCAGGACGGAACCCTGCGGCACTCCACTTGTCACTTCTTTCCAAGATGAAGAGGAAGCATTGGTGAGCAACCTCTGGGTTCATCCATTTAACCAGTTACAGATCCACCTCACCGTAGTTTTGCCTAGCCCACACTGGACTAGTTTGTTTGCCAGAAGGTCATGGAGGACCTTGTCGAAGGCTTTATTGAAATCCAGGTACGCCACATCCACGGCATTCCCTGCATCTATCCAGCTTGTAACTCTATCGAAAAAAGAGATCAGATTAGTCTGGCATGACTTGTTTTTGATAAATCCATGTTGACTATTAGCTATGACCGCATTTGTTTCTAAGTGTTTGCAGACCACTTCCTTAACAATCTTTTCCAGAATCTTGCCTGGTATCGACGTGAGGCTGACCGGACGGTATTGTTTGGGTCATCCTTTTTTCCCTTCTTGAAGATTGGGACCACATTGGCCCTCCTCCAATCTGCTGTAACTTCTCCCGTTCTCCAAGAACTCTCAAAGATGATTGCCATTGGTTTGGAAATGACTTCTGCTAGTTCCTTCAGTACTCTTGAGTGTAGTTGATCTGGCCCTTGAACTCATTTAGAGTGGCCAGGTATTCCTGGACGACTTGTTTCCCAATTTGGGGTTGGATGTCCTCTAATCCCTCATCCACTCCATCTTGATGAGGTTGAAGATGACCTTCTTTTTGTGAGAAGACCTTCTTTTTGTCCCCTAACTCCAGGTGGTCTTGGATGACACGCAGTTCCCTGACCCATTCCAAACCGGCTTCAGAGCAGGATACGGAGTTAAGATTGCGATGGTCACCTTAGTGGGTGATCTCCGTCTCAACACCGACAGGGGTTGGGTGTCCCTGTTTCTGCTTCTAGACCTCTCAGTGGCCTTTGATACCATCAACCATGGTGTCCTTCTGGAACACCGTGAGGGGCATAGGAGTCCCCTAGGGAAGATAGGGTGGAATATAAATAAATTGTTGTTGTTGTTGTTGTTATCATCGGTATCACTGTGCTACAGTGGTTCTCGTCATCCCTCTCATGCAAGTTTCAGATGGTGGTGCTTGGGGAGAGCTGCTACTTAACAAAGGAGCTGTTATGTGGCTTCCCGCAAGGTTCTCTCCCCCAGTGCTCTTTAATGTTTTCATGAAGCCGCTGGGAGAGATCATCTGTAGGCATGGGGTGCAGTGTTATAGATATGCTGATGACCCCCAAATATATTTCTCTATGTTTTCAGCTAACTACTTTTCTGAGTTGCTGAAGTGGAAAGGAAATTAGAATTAATGTAATATTAGAGCTATTGGCTCAATAGAGGATGATGACCATCTGTTGGGAGGGATTGGATAGTGTCTTGCTGCATAACAGAAAGGGGATGGATTGGATGGCCTCTTCAAACTCTAAGATTCTATGTTCTCAAAGTCCAATGGGATATTATTATTATTATTATTATTATTATTATTATTATTGATGGTGCTTTTCCTTTGTGGCGAAAAGGGGATGGCCTGAATGGACTTTGGGGGTCCCTTCCATGTCTAGCATTCTATTATTATTATTATTATTATTATTATTATTATTATTATTATTATTATTATTATTGCTTCTCCTTTATGGCAGAAAGGGGCTGGACAGGATGGCCTTTGGGGGTCCCTTCCAACTCTTGGATTCAATATTTAGAAAGGGCAGGACTTACAATGAGCCTTGCTAGTGTGACAATTATTATTATTATTATTATTATTATTATTATTATATAATTTA